CGGTCATTGCCCATCAGGGAAATCTTCCGTATGGTTATCTTAAATCACTTATGCTGTAGTCTAGAGTCATTTACAGTTTTGTCCTCAGTTCCCCTCAGAAGGGGAACTGATTAGAAGATAACAACTAAATTATTCTCCATTTGCCTTCTGTGGTGTGTGTGTGTGTGTGTGTGTGTGTGTTTCCTTCACACAGGTTTCTTGTACAAAGTTCTTATAACCATCTGAGCTCAGTCATCCACAAAAATTCAGTTAGAAGTAAAACAGAAAAGAAAAAGATGGAGGTTCATGAAATGGGTTTTAGAGAAGAGAGATAATTTTAGGTCAGAACTTTTCATTCAGTAGCTAAAAATAAAAGCTCAGTTTTTAAGGATTTGTTATAAGATTTTTATTATGTTGAAAACCTGCATCAAAACTTACCATCCTATTTTGTTATAAAAGTCTGAAATTGGTTACTATTTTTTGCTTACATAGATTCTTTCAATATAATTTTTTTTAAATGCTATTTAATACTTATAACTTTAATATCTACATGCATTCTGATCTGTTATTTTTAATTTTTTATTTGTTCTTTTTATTTATATATTTTAATATGATGTTATTTTCGTTCATCAAAAAGAAGTAATTTTTAGCATGCAAGGATATAGCATACATTGTGTATTTACAAAGGAAGATGATCAATAACAACCAAATTGGACTGATCCCTAGTATAAAAATCAGAATATCCAAAAATCAACTAATGTAATCCATAACAATAACATGCAAAAAAACTACATGAAAATACCATAAGGTAAAGATTACTTGCCAAAATCCAAAACCAATTCCCAATAGAAACTATCATTAGACTAGAAATATGGGGAACATCTTCAATTTAGAGTGAATCTATAAAATAAAAACAAAATAAAGCTGATTTCATACTTAATGGTGAGAAACTAAATATTGAATTTTCAATTAATATCAGAAAAAGACAACCACCCGTTTTTATAGTGCTTTGTTTATTGCATTGTCTATATTACATTACACAAAGTTTTAGTGTGTACCTTATTTTTTGGGATTTGTTATGGTTTGAACAACTTGCTTTTCAAAATCTGGATCATCATCATCTTAAATCAACAAACACAAGTTTACTGGTTTCATATTGTTAAAGTGTGATTATGAATAAACATCCTAGTATCAAGTGAAATATTTGGAGACATATTCCTTTTCTTTCTTTGATACCATATCTTTGACACATTTTCTCATTCAGATAAGAAAATTGCTTCATGGAATTTTAATAAGAAACAGAAAAAATAACTCTGTAATATGAGCAAGAAATCTGCTATATACTATGATCATACCTTCTGTGGCAAAATTCCCAAACCTGAGCCATCCATGTCAACAGAGAGATGTAATGTGTTGGTTACTTAATAAGTTACAGATCTGCTCATGAAGTTGAGAAATGATGTATGGGAGAAGGATGCTTTCACAAAATGGAAGAAAAACATCTTCTGGGCATCAAAAAGCAGATAGAAACTATAGTGAATTTGGTATGAGACATATGACATGGAAACATTTGGTACTGTATAACAAAATAAAAATATTATAATTAATATTTTTATGCAGAAAAGTAACATTACATTTTTACTCACAATACATTAAAATTTGCTTCTTTGTTCTCTCACTAAATAAGAATTCAATTCTTGTATCTATAACATGTCAGAAAAGAAAACATTCACAAGAATATTGTTTTTAGGCTAAAAGATGATTTAACTTTTAAAACTCTCTGAATCGACTGAAATCTCACAGGTACCTCAAAGGAAACATTTTTCAATTCATGATTTATCCTTGCTTCTATCATTACTTTAGGATTCTTTGGTAGAATTTCCTACGTTGTCAAAATTTCAATTCCATGAAAACGGTGAGTTGTCAGTTTGGAAGTAGAAATATGTTGTTATAACTATTCATTGTTCACATGTATAATAGTGTAGCCTGGCACAGTACTGAGTCTTTCATTTATTTGTTTAATCAAATACTCATTTAGTATCCCTGTTTTCTAAGCAACTTTCTAGATGTTAACAATGCAAAGATGAACGAGACAGAGTTGAGTAGCATAAAGAGAGATGTTTTTGATAACAGATGGTGTATTTAGGAAACTATTCCAGATATGCCAAGGGTGAGAAGGGATGATTTTCGGCCAAATATTGAAGGGCCTCTTGTGTCATGCTAAGGATTTCATAACATATCTGTTATGATGAAGGCTTAATTAAGGTTTGTAAGTGATGGAATAACATGAAAAGATCTGTGTGTAGAAAGAGACTTCACCATGAATTGAATGGAGAGGAGGAAAACTGGAGAAAGGAATTGAAATCCCAATAGTACCATGTCCTGGGAATATAAATATTAATGAGGCATGATCTCAGCATTCAAATTTAGGGTTTTAAGGAAAACACATTTAAAATGCAAATTTACCAATTCCTTTGGTAAAGGAATAAACACTAAAGGGAGAGTGCCAAAAGGTCCAAATGAGGGAAGGAAATTTGTGGAAGTAGAGGGTGGTCAGTGTGCTGGTCAGCTTTTTTCCACTGTGACAAAAATACTTGGCATAAACAACTTAAAAAAGAAAAAAGTTATTTTGGCTCACACTTTCAGAGCTTTGAAATCATGATTGATCAGCTTCATTGCTCTGGGCCTAGGGTTAGGCAGAACATCATGGGACGTGGGCATGGCAGAAGAAAGCTGTTCAGCTCATGACAGCTAGGAAACAGACAGAGAAGGAGATCATGGTGGGGGTTGGTGGGGAGACACAAGATACAACCTCCAAGGGCATAACTTCAGTGATCCTGTTCCTCCAGCCATGTCTCACATGCCTACAGTTCCCACCACCTCTCAAGAGTCCATTCGGCCATTCGGCTATCAATAGAGTAATTCACTGAGGAGATCAGAATACTTATGACCTGATTGCTTCCCTGATGACCCACTTCTGAATATTTCTGCACTGGGACCAAGTCTTCCTCACATGAGCTTTTGGAGGACATTCAATTTAAACAATAATATCCAAGTATATTCCCAACAGTGATACAGATATTGGATCTTGGAAAACAGAGAACAGCTTCATAGGGAATAAAGATTGTTTTCCTTTCATTTTGCAACTTTTTATTTATATATGACAGTGGAATGCATTATAATTCTTATTACACATATAAAGCACAATTTTTCATATTTTCTGGTTGTGTACAAAGTATATTCACACTAATTCCTGTCTTCATACATGTTACTTTGGATAAAGATGACCATCATGTTCCACCATCATTTCTAACCCCATGCCCCCTCTCTTCCCCTCCAACCTCTCTGCCCTATCTAGAGTTCATCTATTCCTCCCTATTTTTTCCCTCATTTTTATTGGAACATTATAGATGCTCATTATGATGGGATATATCGTTACATATTTGTACAGGCACACAATATACCAATATTTTTTGGCCAATATCACTCCTAGTACTTTCCCCTTTCTTCCCCACCTCCCATCATTTGATCTCTTTCCTCTACTGATCTCCCTTTGATTTTTAGAAGATCCACCCATACATTTATTTTCCTTTTTCCTATGTAGATTCTGCATAAGGGAGAAAACAAAGGACACATAATTCACAATAGCCAAACTATGGAACCAGCCTAGGTATCCATCAATAGATGAATGGATAAAGAATTTGAATTAAGATCTTTCCTAGCAGAGATAATAGCATATGTAAAAGCAACTAAGTACAAGAAAGGATAGTATACTTGGAAATATCAAATAGGTATTTATTATTGAATCACAGTGTACTTAGGGGAAAACAGTAGAAGATACCATAGAAAAACCAACAGACTAGTCAGAAATTTCATGACACTATCCTGATGAATGTTCAAACAAGTAAAATAAGGAATACTATAAGACTTTATGCAGAAAAACAGATATTTTCAGAATAGTATTTATGCTGACAGAAAGTTGAAGTCAGAATACAATTAAGAAACAATTGAAAGAAATAATGAAAAGTAGAAATAATTGAAGAAAAGAAAAAGAACATATAAATTCTAAAGACATTTGTAGGATTGGAACTATAGCATTTGATGATCTCTTGGATATGAAGTTTAAAGTGAAAGGGAATATTTCTGATGTGGGAAAATTTGGAAATGACCCATCACTTATAATGAAAGCAAGTGAGAATGCAGGGGAATAGTGAAGATTATTCATTGCTTTAGACACATTGAATCTGAGATGTCAATGTGACGAGGCTAATAGGCACCAAACATTAAAAATTATGAAATAAGGCAAGATATTGAGTTTTATATGCAAATCTTAGATCAAAATCTAAGTCACTGACTTATCCTAGCCTATAGCCTTGTTCCTTACTCTTGCTGACTTCAAGCATGATTGATTAAGACTGAGCTTGTTGTGGTTTGAATCTGAGAGTTCCTCAAAGTCCTATGTGGTCAAGACTTAGTTCCAAAATCAGCAATGTTCAGATAGTGGGGAGGGTGCATTTGGAAAACAATTGGATCTTGTGGGCTCTGATTTTTTCAGTGGATTAATACATTGACAGTTGAAGGGACTCCTAGGAAGTGGTGGAAATTGTAGGCATGTAGGGCATGGCTGGAGGAAGTTGGTCACCGGGGGCATGCCCTGGAAGGATGCCTATTTTTTTGTCCTATATACTTTACCTACTTACCTAGCTCCCTATTCCCTCTCCCACCCACCCACCTCCTCCTTCCTGGCTTCCATAAGTTAACCAGCTTTCATCTTCCAGGCCCTTCTACTATAATATTCCACCTCACCTCAAGCCCGAAACAATGGAAACAGATAACCATAAACTGAAACTTCTAAAACCATAAGCCAAAATAAAAATCTCCTCCTCTATGTGGTTTTTCTGATATTTGTCACAAAAAAAGAAAAGCTGACTAACATAGCACTTTAGGGCAAATCTTGACCAATGAAAGAAGGCCTCACACATTTGTAAAGAATTCTCTTCCCATTAGATTTTAGAGGTCAACTGCCATATACTCAAAGGCCTGGGAGTGATTAAAATTTTATTTGGTCCCTGGTTTTGTTCCTTGGCTATCAGGTTAAGATGTTTTACCAAATCCTTTTAACAGGTAATGTAGTTGATGATTGTCTGGTGGAAGCACTGAGGTGACGTTGATATGTATGTAATGTTTGTTATATTTCAAGGTAATCTAAATCTAGTTTTCAAATTAAAAAAATAGAAAAATATGTTTCTTGAATTTTTCTAAAGCCAAACTTGATATCATTTTGCTCCATTGGTAACCTACATTGAATGCATACTATATTATGAATCTATTACACACAAAAATTTATTTAAAATATTCTAGTAAAATCATGTTAGAATTTGTTGAGTGTCTTACACAAAAATATAGATATAAAAACAAAATAAGAAAATTAATATAGGAAAGCCTTAGTTATACTTGTAAGACATTATTTCAGAGGAGAATACCTTATTCTTTCAAAAGTTTTTTTTTTTAAATCATCTTTGTGAAAAAAAAATTTCTCTTCAGAACCCTACAAAGTAAACCTACAAAATATATTATTTTATTACAATGGTATAAACTATTAATTTAATGCTCTAAATTTTGAGTATTATAAGCATCAAAATGAAAGAGAGGCAGGAAAATGAGAAGGCTCCAAGCAATAATCTTCATCTATGAATTTGTATTCCAGGCAGGGAAAAAAAGCAAATCCATTAATACCATAGCTTTATTGTATACAAAATAATTACCTTTCAATATTTAGAAGACTGCTAAGAAACATATTTAGATATTCATTACAAGGTGATATAACTATGAGTTATAAAGTGTACACAGAGTTATAACACAAATTGACAGTCTGAAAAGGTATAAAATTTCATAGGAAGGGCACCAGATAGTGTAGATAGTCTGTATAGAATTCTAGTAGGGAATTGGATTTAAATAACATTCATCTGCTTTTCTAGGTCCAGAAAAATAATATGGTGTAAATATGTATATGGTAGTTCTCACTGTTGCATAGATTTGAAAATATATAAAGCAAACATTCTGAGAAAAAAATTTATAAGCCCTGAAAATATGGTGGGGAATATTGTGTGTAGAGTAAATTAGAAAAAAATATATATTATATAAAATATTGTTAATTTAATATAGAAGCTTGATGTGTTTTTAACTTGTTAACTAATAAGAGGAGTCAAGAAACTGACAGGAGCCATACTCTTTAAAGATAAAGTGTGAATTTACCCTTTAAATAGCAAGCACAATAGGGGATAAGCTGATTCTATACCTCATAAAAGGTTAAGTAAACACTGAAAACACACCCTTACTTAGACCTCATCTCAAATGAAAGTTATAGAACCAGTTTCCAGAATATTCTCTTGGCCATTCTGCTTTATTTCCTTGGAGAAAAGTTACATAGGACTTTTTTTGAAGAAAACGTGTTACTTAGAAGAAATAGTTATTTCCAGAATAAAATTCCAAAAAAATTTTTTCACCTGATTATTTCTTATATAAGAATGTACTCCATCCACCATACTCCTTACCAAAACTTTGTCATGAGTGAAAAACTCATTTCCCCGTAGTTATTTCTTGTAATAGCCTGTAGCAAAAGCAAAGGATCTGACATTAGAAAATATCTCAGAGTAGGTGATGCTGTATGGAACTAAGCAATTGTGATCCAAGTACACAATATTCTGCTAGTCTAACTCAATGAAAGAGAAGAACTCAGCGTTGAATTGCTGGTCATTTTGACTATCTTCTCTATATATCACAGAATCAGACAAACTTTTGATATAACATGACAAGAATATACTGTGAATTTTTCAAGTGTTGTGTTCCTTATTGTTAAAAGAAGACGAATCTTTACTCTTTTCTAACAGAGAAATTGGAAATGGGGCCAAAGTTGGACTATGTGACTACTAATAGTTTTTTGCTAAATTTATTTTGCTTTTCTAATGATAATGAACAAGGGGTTATTTTCAAGATGTCATATATATGAATGTAAATGGACATATCCGTTTATTATAGAATGAAAAAAGTCGTAAATAATTTTAAAACAAGATTCCAACAAATATATCTTGCTTAACATTTTAATTTGTCATAATTATGTTTAGCTCATTTCTCCTAGATACAGTTGCCAATAGTTACGCTTCTTAACCTAGCCAGATTTAATCTACTTGCATTTGCCCTTATTCTTACATTTGCAATCTTCTACAATGGCTTCTGCTCTAAATGACTTGGCTTCCTTATTTCCTGATAGCTTACCCAATCCTTGCCACTTTAATATATGGGAACCAAGCCATTAATGTAATTACTCTTTTCTATCTATTTCAAAGTGAGTTTCCTCAAGCATGGAAATGATAATGTCTGATTTTAACTGGAATTATTTTTAAAAGTAAGATCATAACTCCTATTTATTTTCTAGTTCCTAATCATCCTACTTACTATATACTCACCCAAAATCAAATGAAATTCCATAATTATTCATCAAATATACACTAAAATTTCCACTTGATAAGAGTTAAAACAACAAAGCTTATGAAATGTGGTACATTTAATGGAGGGCAAATTGATCAGTGATGGTATATAGAGCTTGCTTGTTTCCCTGGCCTGTCTCCAACTCTGAGCATTTATTTCCTCTGTTAAAGGTGCTCTTCCTCCACTCCTACCTTCTCAAAACAGACATGAAATACTTACACAACAGACAAGGGATTCTGAAAGATTTATTCTTCTAATTCAAGATGTTTTTAAAGAAGCTATATTTTGGATGTTGTTTTATAAGACAGTGTTAAAGACCAGAGGTAGTTCTTTGTTTGGGAGGTGATGGTTTTATTTTTTATTTTGTACAAAACATAGTCACCATAAGGTTCAAGGAGCCGATTTTATTTTATTTTTTTTCCTTTTTTTACTAGAACTGAAGAAAGTACAGTTACAGCCTCATACTATGACCATCTCCAGCTGACACCTTTTAAGAAAGTTCACTATACATTCTCATTTTGTTGGGAGGGGCTTTCTGAAGAAAGAACTTATTCCACCCCATAATTACCTCCTTTTAGGTATCACAGAAAATTGCTTTTATTCAGTAGGTAATAATTGAAAGGGTGCTCTTTGCACCCCTTTTTTCCCACTGAACTCTCCATAATGATTGCAGAATGTGATCTACTTCGGTTTTTCTATCAACATTTTATCATTTAGTACTTGTGAAAACAATTCCCACTTTACTAAGCACACTCAGGGTCTAATATGTTTTGGGTTAAAGTAGTTCTAAATATCAGGTGAATAGGCATACAAGGGCACACAGTTATCAAATGCTGCTGTTCACTGACTAACACAGAATGTATGATACAAACCTACAGTTATAGGAATAAGCCTAAGAATAGATACTCAAGAGCTATTTCTAAAATGTATTGACATTCTATTTTTCCCCCCTCTCTCATTCTAAATAGGTAGTTTGGCAACTTGGACTACACAGGAATTGTTTCTGAACTTGAGATTGTACTGAGCACTAATAGTGCACTGTTGGAAAAAAAAATTAGTATCATTCATACATATTGCCCTTTACTGTGACAAAGCATTTCCACTTATGGCATCACATTTGATTTTCTAACACCTTAACCCGAAAAGTGCTTTCAAGCTACACATCTCCCTCTCTAGGGTATATGAGAAGAAGAAGTGAAAGTGTGTTGAAGGCAGGGCAGAAAAAGGGTAAGTACTGGACCTGGGATCTGTGTGTAGATATTTTTAGTAGTATCCTCTAGTGATTGCATAATTCAGTGCTCCCAATGGTGGTTCTCAAAATATGGTCTTTACATAAATCTCACCTTACCAGGTGAGCTTTTTTGGAAATTTAAATTCCAAACTCCACCCAGAAATATTAAATCAGAAACAATGGGGCTGCACATTAGTCTGTCCTTTAGCAATCTCTCCAGGAGAGTCTGGTACATACTGAAGTTGAGAACCACTGCTCTAAATCGCCATTTCACAAACTTTGGTGGGGATCACAGAATCTGGCTTTAACCATTGAACTTTTCCCAGCTTACTACATCAGCATCTCATAAAGGAAAGAGAAATTTGTGCAACTGAATATTCTAAAAAAAAAATTGAGTGTGATTCTGAACAGTAAATTCTGAGAGCCATTGGTATAAGCTAATGTTTCCTCATTTCCTGGCTCCTGTCCCACTCCATCTCCTCTCCTTGCATTTCCGCCATCTCTACTTGTGTGTGTGTGTGTGTGTGTGTGTGTGTGTGTGTGTGTACATTCACTTATGTGTTTGGTACTGGGGATTGAATTAAGGGGCACTTAACAGTGAGGTACACTCCCAGTCATTTATTATATTTTATTTTTTGAGACAGAATCTTACTAAGTTGCTGAGGTTGGCCTCGTCTAGAACTTAAATTCCTTTTGTCTCAGTCTCCTGAGTCACTAGGATTATAGGCAAGTACCCTCTCCCACAGCTCATCCCTGCATTCTAAAATTCAGCTACATTCCCGAGGCCATGATAGGCTCTAATATTTATGAGACCTGGGCTACTGTGACTTTAAACCACCAGACCTTTTAGAAATCCTTACCCATTCTTCCTGTTCTTGGTGAAATGCTGTTTTCATTGTGAAGTTACTACTTTAATAGTTAAAACATAGGCCCCTCATGTGTGCTAATAATAAGGAACTTGTCTCTACCACTGTTAAATCTTTCATGTCTCTTTTATCTAATTGTACTAAGCTTGATTCTAAGATGTCTCTCTCTACAAATACTCTGTGTTCTCTAGAAACACAGACTTGTCAGATGTGGTGGCACAGGTCTGTAATCCCAGCAACTCTGGATACTGAGGCAAGAATAGCCTTAGCAACTTAGCAAGACTTGGCATCAAAATAAAAATAAAATAAAATAAAACAGGCTGGGGATATAACTCAGTGATAGAGCACCCCTGGGTTCAATACCCAGTGCCAAACACACAAACAACAACAGAGTCCAATTATTTTGCTATTACCCATATGAGCTCAAAGGTCTCTGATTAAAAACATAAATGAAAGTAGTAATACATGATATTTCTGTAGGTTCCAAGTACTGCTGTAAGTTCTCTACTTATATTACCTCTTTTAACATATGTTTAAAATAAACATAATTTTATAATATAGGTACTAGGATAGTTTGTGTTTTATGAATAAGAATTTGGAGGTTAAAAATCTTGTCCATATTATACAATGTATACGTGTACAAAAACATCATATGGTATCCCAAAAGTAGGTTCATTTTTTGTTGTTATTTTCATGTATCAGTTTAAAAAATAAGAAAAGATCTTGAATGTATCCATTATAAAGAAGTGATAAATCACTTAACTGATTAAACTATATATATATATATATATGGAAACATTACATGGTACCCATTAATATGTACAGTTTATGTGCTTTTATGTATTAGTTAAAAAGTAAAATTAACTGAGTTTTTTTAAATAGATGTTTTCAAAATGTATGAAAGAAAGAAAGAGAAAAAGAAAGAAAGAAAAGAGCTCACCAAATGTCACAATTGACAAACTAGAGGTGCAAACCAGCAGTCTGCTTCCAAGGATTGAGCTCTTCATTATAAAAATTCTGAAACACATATCTTTACTCACACTCTTGGAGGTCTTCCCCAAAAAGTACTACCAGAAATCTCAAAGTCTACTCTTATTCCTCTGCTCTGGTCTCATGGCTTTTGTTTATAGGTGACAAGGTACCACTGTCACTGCAGCTTCACCATTCTCTCCAGCCTGATGAGTCCAACTACGTCTTTTTTCCCCCCCATAATTTGATAGGAGTTTTAAATTCAGATCCTCAAATATCTTTTTGTGAAATAAATTGTACATCTCTCAGTGACGAAATCTTTTGAAAAATGGCTCATCTTTATATGAGTAGGATCATATAGTATTTGTCCTTTTATGACTGTTTTTATTTCTGTTAGCTTTATGTTTCATGTTTCATCTGTGCTGTAGCATATAATAATGGCATTTCCTTTTTATAAGACTATATAATATTTCATTTTCTACACTTAAGAAATTTTCTTTATCCATTCAACTATCAGTGGACATTCTGCTTCATTCACCATTTTGCTTTACACAAAAATTCTTTCTATTTTTTCATGAAAATTTATGTCCATTCTAAAATGTTTGCCACAAGCTCACCAGTGAGGAATAGCCACACCTTAGATTTTACTTAGTTTTCAGCTGTGTCTACTAATACTGTTTTTTTCCTGTCTTTCCTAGAGATTGGCATACAGTAGTCACTATATATGTGCTTTGATTTCCATGTTCGTAGTCAAATAATTTAAATAGTAAACAGGTTCAGAATAAAATGTTCTCTAACTTCTATTTCAATATATTTTTCACTGTGATACCTAATTTTAAGTATTTCACCAGCAAGTGACTCCTTCTCCATTGCATTTAATCAATTATACATATTTTATTTTTTGCAATATTTATTTCCAGTTAGTAGCATCATGAATATCAAAATTTGTATTGGTATAGTGTTGCTATCCAGTCCATTTTTTCCCCTCAAATCAATCTTTCCTATTGTAACTGAGTGTTTTATCTAAAGTTTTAATTTGACCATATGTCTCTCCTATATAAAAATAGTTCTTTTCCCCAACTCTAAAACCTATAGAGGGCCTACAAGGACACTTGCCATCTGGCATCAAGTGTCCTCACTACCAATCTGTGCCTTGTACTTTCCCACATTAATGGGTACTTGAATACAGGTGGGGTTTCTCTTACTAACTTTGCTTCTTCATCCTTTCAAGCCATACTCTGTCTTCGTCCCCCATGGAATTATTTCCCTCACTCATACGTTTGCCAAGATTCTACTCATTCTTCAAGATATGCAAACCTCCCTTGCCAGCACAGGCACCTCTGTCTCCTCTTATAGAAAAATATAATCAGTAAGTAGGAGACAATTGCCTTTCAGGTGAATCCTACTCCTCCTTAACACCCACCTTTACCATCTGTCACTATTCCTACATCCATACCTAGGCTCAAATACCAGTAGAACACAGGGAAACAAACTGATACCTACCACTGCAAGATTAATAATCACCAAAATGTGAACTGGGATAAGGGTCTGTACTCATTGAAATAATTACATACTGTTTTAATTATTATCTGTATAATAACTGTATAAAATTGGGAGCATGAATTGTGAATGACTATGAATCAATTATATGAAGGAAAGGAAAAACTAATGGATAAAGCCAAATTATTGATATGGAAGAGACAAACTCAGAGATACTAAGTTGGAAGCATATTACCTTGAATAGCTAAGCTAGGAGTACCTCTATTGCTTTGTTGATTGAAAGAAAACTGTACGCATGGTAGTTTACAAGAAAGGAACTGAAATGCTGCAACTTCCATAAAAAATTGTAAAAGAAAAAATCAAATGGCTCAAAAATGAAAGAAAGAGGGAGTGAATTTATTATGTCAATCCTCTACTCACATGGACCACAAAGCTCTGGTCCCTTCTTTATACAAAACACCAGGGTCCCTGCTTTAACATGAAAAAAAATGATTTTCTCTTTGCTTTTTTATCTTCCTACTAGACTATAAATTCTTTAAGGGGTCATAATTATTTAATAACTTTATTTCCAATAACTACTATGTGTACAGCCCAATTATTTTATTTGATGAAAAATGAGGGACTGTGAATTTTTTTTTGTTGTTGTTTCATGTCAAATTTTTATTTGTTAAATAGTTTGTTAACTGTGTAAGTGAATAACAAGATATTTTTTCAGATGCTTGTTATTTAAATTAATAATATATGTCAACAGATATTATTCATACACCTTATTTTTTCATTACTGAGATTTATAAATATTGATTTGTGTCTGTCTTATTAATATATCTATTCTATTTGTTGTATCATATCAATGTGCAGACAGTTCCTGGTTTATGTTGATTTGTCTTGACAGTGGAATGAAAGCACACCCAAACAAAAATTCTGTTTTCACTTTTAATACAGCATTCAAAAAATTATATAATGTGTTTATCATTTTAATAAAATATACATTTCATATTACATTAATTTTTTTCTAAATGTACACTAATGTTAAGTGTTCTGAGAGTAAACTATGATATTCAATGGATTATATATATATTGTGAGATGGATGTTATGTTCTCTAAAAAGTCAGAGAGAGACAATGCAAGAATGCCCTCGGGTGAAATGATTGGATTATGAAAGTCTTAATCTACTCAGTATATAATCCACATATGGACTGAGTAGGAACTGGAGCAGGTAGTGTGTGTCTGAAAGATGTGGGTCCCTGGAGGTGTGTCTTTGGGGCTTATATTTTTGTCCCAGGTAAGCAAAGCTCTCTTCTCCCTGATCACCATATCATGAGCTGCTTTTCTCCTCCACACCTTTCTACCATGATGTTCTGCCTCACCTGAGCCCTGAGCAATGGAGTTGGCCATTTATGGACTGAGATCTCTGAATCCCTTTTTCTCTTCTATTTTTCTCTCACCTGTCTTGGTGTGGTGACAGCACCTGAATTACTCCAGACACTTTAGAACTAGAATACTAAGATTAAACATGTTGGTTTGGACTACTGTAGGGGCTTGAGAGGCCCACTGAATCTTTGGCAGGGTTGACCAATAATATTCTCATGTACAAGGCCAATAAAGACTGATAGAAGCAATACTTTTTACCTAATGTATAGATATCAACATAAACAGTCAAAGAAAAAGAAGTAATGTGAAAATAATCAACTACAACTACAGGAAGAAAATAAATCTCTAGAAATCAAGTTTAATGAAATTGAAATATATGAATTATCACATAGAGAAATCAAAGTAACTATCAGAAATATGCACAATGAGCTCAGAAGAACAAAGGAAGAACATCAAAAAGTGATTGAAAATTCCAAAACAAACAAAAGAAAGTTTCTTGAACATTTTAGTTCAGTTCACAAGCAGATTAGAGCAAACAGAAGAAAGAACTAATGAATTCAATGATCATGTCAGAGTGTACAGTAAGAGAAAAAAAACAAATGAAAAAAGAGTGAAGAAATTTAAGGGATTTGTGACATGGCCTTAATCTGGCCCATTCACATATTATGAGAGTCTCAAAAGAGAAAGAAGCAGAAAGATTATTCAAAGAAATAATTACTAAAAATTTACTACACATGGAGAAAGAAAGTGACATTCAGATCCAGGAATATCTTAACCACAAATAAGATAACTCTAAGGAAATCAATATTTTATTATTAAATTGTCATAAGTCAACAACATAGAAAATCAGCTTGACATTTCCAAGTTAACATCCATAAGACTATATCAGTACATATTTCAACACAATTCATGCAGTTCTAAAGCAAAGGAAATGATATTTTCAAAGTGTTGAAAGATAATAAATACTTTTTAAAAATACCATATCTATTAAAACTGTCCTTAAAAAAAAAAAAGGCAGAGTGGTTCATGCCTGTAATCCCAGCGGCTCCTGAGGCTGAGACAGGAGGATCTCGAGTTCAAAGCCAGCCTCAGCAAAAGTGAGATGCTAAGCAACTCAGTGAGACCCTGTCTCTATATTAGAAATACAAAATAGGGCTGGGATATAGCTCAGTAATTGTGTGCCCCTGAGTTCAAACCCCAGTACCCTCTCCACAAAAAAAATTATATTAAAGATACATGAGTTAAACTCTCCAATCAAAAGACATTCAATGAGTGAAGGGATTCTATGAAACAATCCAACTCCACTATTTGTAAAAGTTTCGTTTTAGTTTTAAGGCCACAAACAATCTGAAAGTGAAAGGATGGAAAAATATGTTCCATGTATATAATAAACGAGAGTAAGATGGCTACATTTACATCAGAGAAAATAGATATTAATCCAAAATCTGACATTATATACTGATAGAAATTCTAAGTTACCATAAAAATGTAAATATGCATGTTCTCCACATTGGACACCTATATACTTAAAGCAAACATTGAAATTGAATGGAGAAATTAGCACAATACACTAATAGTATGAAACTTCACTTTCCTAATTGATACAAAAAAAAAAAAAAAACAGACAAGAATCCAATACAGGGCTTGAACAACACTGTAGGCAAAATGGAATAACAGATATAAACAAAACATTCACCCAACAAGAGAAGAGTATAGATTCCTTTTTAGAACACAGTTCTCTAGGACAGATTTTTAGGTCACTAAACAAACCTTAATATATTTAACAAATTTAAAATCATCCCAAGAATCTTTTCTGACCACTACGGAATGAAACTAGAACTCAACAGCAGAAGAAAACTGGAAAACTCACAAATATGTGCAAACTGAACAACACACTTTTGAACAACCAAGAAGTCAAAAAAGAAATGATGAAGGAAATTTAAAAATATCTTGAGGCAAACAAATGAAAACTCAGCATACCTAATCTTAAGATATGCAACAAAAATGAAACTGACAGGAGGTTTGTTATGTTAAAAATATCTTAAGTAAAACAAATCTCAATTTATTTCCCAAGGAACTGGGGGGAAAAAGAACAAACTAAGCTCAAAATTAGGAGGAATTAAATATATTTGATCAGAAATTAATAGAATGGAGTATATAAAAAAGATTTTAAAAATCAGTAAGATTGAACTGCTTTTCTGAGAATATTAACAAATTTTTAAGCAAACCAACTAAGAACACAAACATAAAGACTCAAAGAAATCAGTAATGATAGAGACTTAGCAACTGATGCCACAGAACTAAAGAGAATCATAAGAGATTACTATGAATTAATATATGTTAATAAACTGAATAAACTAGAAAGAAAATATAAATTCCTGGAAACATGCAACTGGCCAAGACAAAAACACTAAGACACAGAAAGACTGAACAGATCTATAATGAGTAAGAGGATTACATCAGTAATCAAAAACTCCAAAAAAAGAATTTCCAAAATCAGACTGCTTCACTAACTGAAGCCTTTTAAACATTTAAAAAAGAATTAATGCCAAATCTTCTCAAACTCTTGCAACAAATTAAAGAGAAATGAAACCCTCCCCAATTTCTTTGATGAAGCCAGCATTTCCCTAACACCAAATGAGATAGACATGTCAAAGGCCTGTCAAGACTGGGAGAAGATATTTGCAACACAGATAATTGACAATGCCAAGCATCTGGAAAATAAAAAAATTTAAAAAATTAAAAAACCTCCTACAATTTAACAATGAGAAAGTAAAAAGAATTGTATGCAGAATATGAGAAGACATCACAAATAAAGGAAACATGTAGCCAATAGAACAGGATAAGATACTCAGTGATTTTAATTATCAGTTGTTAAATGATATTAAAAATGTGACTAAAACCAAGAATGTCAAACTATTTCATAATGGCAAGAAATTCATAAGATCTTGGAAGTTTACTAAAATAATTGATTGTACACTAAAATTTCTAATTGCTGATTGTTGGTGCACCACAAAACATGCAAAAGGATAACTAGATAGTTTCCTACCCCCCTCCTTCCTCCTTCCTTCCCTCCATCCTTCTCTCTCTCTCTCTCATTCCCTCCTCACTGACTCACTCCCTCAACTCTCTTTTCTTTTCAACTTATTGAAGTAAATGCACTTAAAATGAGATCTACCTATTTACCAGAGTTTTAAACTAAGTGCCTAACGTAGTATTGTCAACTATAAAAACAATGCTGTATAACAGAACACTGGAACTTAATCATCTTACATAACTGAAACTTTATACATTTTGATTAACAATTCCCAATTCTTATTTTAGCTGCTCTTGGTAATCAAGACAGAAATTCCACCCCTGCTTTGGTAAGTTTGTTTTACAGACCTTGTGTAAAGTAGAGTTATGCAGTATTTGTCCTCTACGACTGAGTTATCTCACCTAACACAATGTCCTCCATATTCATCATGATATTTAATGGGATATATATATATATGTATATATGTTGTGATTTGGATGTTATTGTTGCATGTTATTGTTGCATATTGCAGGATTTCTTTTTTAAGGCTGAGTAATGTTATGTTCCATGCATACGCCATATTTTCTTATTGCATTCCTTAATCTATTGTCATTCTGGTTATGTACACATCCTGGTTGTTGTGAATACTGCTGCAATAAACATGAGAATGCTAATATTTCAAATTCCTGATTTTAATTTATTTGGATAAATAACCAGAAGTAGGATTTCTGTATCATATGGTAGTTCTATTTTTAATTTTCTAGGTACTTCCATACCACTATCTGTAGCAGCTATGCCATTATGTATTCCACCAAGAGTGTACAAGTTTGCCAGTTTTTGTACATCCGTGCCAATATTTGGGGTATTTTGTTGTCTTTTAATAATGGCCATCTTAACAGATGGATGAAATCTTGTGATTTTGATTAATTTGCATTTCCCTAAGGAATAGAAACTAGAACATATTTTCCTTTATGTGTCATTTTTATGTCTTTGAAAAACTGTATATTCAAAAACAGCTCATTTTAATACTTATCACATTTTTTTTAAATTTTACTTGTTTGACTTGCTTATATATTTTTGAAGTTAGCCCTTTATCAGGTGTATGATAATTTCTTCCCATTTCATAGACTGCCTTTGCATTTTGTTTATCAATCTTTCCTGTGCAGAAAACTTTTAGTTTGTTTGGCCACACATGAAAAAAGTAATTTTTATTTAGTCAAATCTATCACAAAGCACTTTGTTTCTCTGAACTGAAAACTACATTTTATATTTTTCTTAAATCCTCTGTCTTAACTATCTAGAAGTTACACTCTAGTAAAGTCTGAAGTATAGATCTATTGATATTTTATACAATTTAAAGTTCAGCTATCCAAATACCATTTCTTAGATATTTTATTACCCATCAGTTGATAAAGTTTGATACCCATGTAATATAAAAATTCATTTATGGAATTTTTAATATTTCTGACCTTGGCACTGTGATCAATATGTTTATGGGTCAAATAATCAAGCTATACTATAAGCTTCATTTTATTGTTTTCTTTTTATTCCTCTTATGCCCTACTATTCATTTGTGTTTAATTTTCATATGAATTTTAGAATATTTGATTAGCTTTACAAAGATCATTTTAGATAATTAATTGTATTTGCACTAAACTTACAGAATAAAATGGGAAAATAACATGAAATAATATCTTCTATTTTAATATGCCCATTTATATATTTATCCCACTTAATTAGTTTATTTTGAAGTTCTTCATAATTTTTTAATTTAATAATATTTAGTAGTGACCTTATAAAAATTCTATACATATTTGTTAGATTTACTCTACATAGGTTTTTATGCTATTTAGAAATGAGAAATGTTGGCATATCTTTTTTTCTAAGTGACCATTTCTGAAAAATGTAAGTGGTCTATTTATTTAGTTTTTAATAAACATTTGAAATTTTATTTTTCAAAGTCACACCCATGAACATTGTTAGTCATAGTTACATTTAGTGGCCCTCTTGATTCTCCTCAGTGATACTGAGCACAATCACAAAGAATGCCTTATGGTTCTTCCCAAGTGGTAAAAAATACTGAAGTGTAGATAATAAGAAGAATGTCATGGCCAATATTATAATCATGGTACTACCAATTTAAAACTTTTGAGAGTGAAATCTGGCTGTCAGTGCTGCTCTGTGGTGTTTCTGTGTCTAATAGGAGCTGTACTTGCATTCCTGACACTGCTGGTCGCTTTACCAATTTGTCCACATCTGCCTCTTCCAACAAATGTTCCATCAAAAGGACTCACATTGTCTTTCTCCACCAAAGCCTCCTCCCTGTCCATCCTTGATCATTTCCTCCTTCCCTGCTGCCGTTATCAAGACTCCTCATGCTCAAGTTCAAGTTCTTTCCTAATCTAGAAAATTCTCTCCACTCCTGCCTATAAACACTCATGTTACTGTTCATCCCTATTGGGATGAACACTGCTTTTGGCCTGTGTTTATTTCAATCATACACCTGATAAAGGGCTAACTATTCCATTATCTATATTGATTTAGAGCCTATTAGGAGGATCCAGAATCAGGTGAGAGAATGAGGACAGGGGTGGTGTATATAATTAGTGGGAGGCTGCCATCATAGCTGCTTTATTGAACATTGAGACTCTTGTTTAGTTGTCCATAGGTATTCTGCTGAGGGTTACAGCTCTAATCATGACTAGTTGGCTATACTGAGGAACAGCTGATTAAGAGGCCAGGGCAGAGGTGAAGTGACTGGCAGTATGAGATAGCCCCCAGGTACCCGGGGATAGTTGTAGCTGCTCTGTCATATTATAGATTGGGCAGACTTAGGTTGACTAAACTCAGTTGGCTATTTACCATCCTGTGGTCTTAAAGGCTCAGTGATTGATATGCATACTGAGCTTCATAGGAAGCTTGGGTATTGGTGAGTATAGCAGGGTAGCATTATAAGCACCAGGGCCATATCTCTGGATACGCTGACTGGATGCCTGGCAGCAGCTGGAGAAGATTAGCCATTGGGAGACTGTCTATGGAAGTTGTATAACTAGTCTACTCACAAACCACAGCCTGGTTATAGCTGACATCACTGATCTGTCCATAAATTTTGAAGCTTAGTTGACCATATGCCTGGATGGAATGACTGAGCACATCTTAAAGTGGGATGTACAGTCTAAGTACTATATCGTTGCTTGGCTGCAGCTTGGTTATAGGTATTTGTTTAAGACAGCTTTTTCACCACTGTGACTGTAACACCTAACCAGAAAAGTGTAGAGGAGAAAACATTTATTTGAAGGCTTATGGTTTCAGAGGTCTCAGTCTATAGCCAGCTTCCCACCCCCCACTCTTCAGAAATGAAGCCAGTTGTCGATGGAATGGCTCAAGGTGAGGCAGATGGACAGGTGGGAAAGTGTGGCAGAGGAAAGCAGCACACATGATGATCAGAAAGCAGAGAGAGGTATCTCCCCTTTCCAAGTACAAATATATACTCGAAATCTATGCCCCAATGTTCCACCTCCTCCAATCACACCTAACCTGCCTTCAATTAGCACTCATTTAGTCCCATCAGGTTACTGATTCACTGATTGGGTTAAGACTCTGACAACCCAATTATTTCTCCTTTAAACCTTCTTGCATTGTCTCATGCATGAGATTTTGGGGGACACCTCACATCCAAACCACAATATTTTATATCTGAACCCCAAAAGCTCATAACCATCTTATAATGCAAAATAAATTTAGTTTATTTAAATTTAGTTTATCTACAAGAGTCCCCATAGTCTCAACAGTTAAAGGATTGCCCAAAATTTCAAGTCCTAAATCCCCTCTCAGACTCAGGGCAAACTTTTATCATAAGTTCCTGTAAAAATCAAAACCTATCTACCAGTATCCAATATTTAAAGATACAGAATAAATATTTCCATTCACAAAAATATGGACATAGAAAGAATGGATAGGACCAAACCAAGACTGAAATCCATCTGAGCAAATAAATTCTGTAGCTCCACATCTGGCATCTGGGGCAAATGGCATGATGATGTTCTTTCTGTTCAATGGACTTATGTAGCTCCAATCCTGTGGCCTTGTTGGTTGCAGTCCAAGTGGCCTTTCTGTTGGCTTGTCTCTGCTTTATTCCTGCAGCTTTCTTAGGATGAGGTCCCACATTACTGAAATTTCTTAATCTTGGTGGTCTCCACTGTAGCTGCAGCTTCCTCCACACATCTCCACACTTTGTGTTCTCAGAGGCTTCCTATAGGAACTCTGACCCTGATGCACTTTGCCTTGCCTCTCAGGCCTTTCTTTGAAATCTTGGTGGAAGCCTCCAGGACCCCCTAACTCTAGCATCCTGCATTCCTGCAGAAACAGCTCCAAGTGGTTGACACCTGTAAGGAAAAGAAAAGGAAATACAGAGACAAGACTCAGAAGCAGGAAAGATGGCAGAATGGCAGAGAGGTCAAGCTGCCCAGCTTTATTTATATCAGTAGGTTACTTTAGTTCGTTGGAACCATTTTTTTGTACATATTGTTCATTGTGTTACTAGGAGGGTTATAAACTTAGCAAGATCATGCAGCTTATTCCTCAATTATATACTAAGTTGCAACGTGCAATGTTAGCAGCTTTGTGCAGCTCTCAAGAAATTTCATTGAACAAAGGTACTGTTATATGGACATGTTTAGTCTCAGTTAAATATTGTGGTTGTCTAACAACAGAATTCCTTTATTCCCAGGAGCTGAGTGTCTGAGATCAAGTTCGAGGCTGATAAGATTCTAACACAGAGCCACCTCATGAAGGACATTGCTACAGCAGGTAGGCATTTTGTGTCTTTGCACAGAAGTTTTCCCAGCAGCCAGGCATTGCACATGTTTTAGTTATCTTACTATTTTCTAGGAGAAACTGCAGAGCATTGTAAGGGTGGGAAACAGGGTGTATATTACCCCCAAGTTGTTTGCTTACTAGAGGAATGCTTCCTTGTATATTTCTATGGTCAGAATCCATACAGACACCAATGTCTGTTGCCATCTTGAGCAGTATTAAGTGCTCCAGACATTTTTAACATGTATGTGATCATAAGACTGTATCTTGTTAATGTATGTCCAAATCCAGTTATGCAAAATTGTTGATTAATTTTCTATTTTTCTTTCTAATTGATTGAAAAATTGTACTTACTTCAAAAAATAAATTTCATAAGTGTCCCTTATTTTTCTTTCAAACTTTTTTTTTTTGTAAAATGAGGACTATATGTACACAAAATTTAGAAATCTTTGCATGTAAAACTACTTGAGACTTGTAGCAGATATCTGTAATGATACAAAAAATATTCCTTCAGCTTACTTGAGTTGCAGTGGGTTTGAGAATATTCAAGCTTATTGCTCTAGTTTTTCATATATCCAAACTCATACTTTTTTTTCTAATGCACAGACCCAGATAATATCATGAAGACATTCTCATTTAATGAGTAAAGTAGAGTAGAGGGTTAAATGCTTCACCATCAGAGACATATTTTACAGGATAACTTGGAAAATAATGAGTGTGTTTTAATTCTAATTGCTTATAGTAGTAACCAGCTTAATAAGACATTTTTATTGCCTTTCCCTATTTTTCTCTATCACTTGCATAGATCTTTCATTTGTGCTTCCCGAGATCAATCACCTCCCTTAAAAACTATAAATCTATATCCCTGTCTAAAGTTTTGCATTTAGGACCTGCAAAATAATACTCGCAATTATGGATGATATCTTAGAAGGGAACTCTGGAAATGAAATTTAAACTAGATATTTCAGTAATCACAGAACCACAAGGAGCCTATTACTAGTGGTAAATGGGAATGAGTAACTTGTGGCATGCTATACAATAACAATTCCTATTATGTCTCACCATTGTGGATTAGGACTCATGAAAGTACAGGAAAAGGTGATTGGTGTGGAAGCTCTTTAGAATTTGAAAGGAATAGGAACATAGTATTTATAGACTTTTATTGTATTTACCAATGGCAGTAAAAGCCTCTCGAAAAAGAGTGACAGGTACAGGTTAGCCAATTTTCCATCATGTGCATGCTGTGACAATGTGAAGGACTCTGAAACAGGATTAAAAGTGATTCTCATCTTCTACAGCTTTAGTGAAGACTATGATAATGAAGCTACAGATTTAATTAGAAAGATTGATTGCAAAAATTGCTAAGGAGACTTAATGTACAAGTTTCATAGAATTTTTATTAAAAATGATGTCATGATAAGGACGAATACACACATTGTGAAGAGGAATGGGACATTTAGGTGAATGTAACTGTGAATAGATTCTAATGAACAGTATTCTGATTACTAACAGAAGTAACTCTCATTCTGCCTAGAGGAAGATCTCACTTTTCACATGGAATTCATGAAAAAAAATTCAAATATGATGATTTTTTTTTTTTAGAAAAGATGATACTTTTTTTCCTCCAAAATATTCCTTCCTGAATTCCCTCATTGCCCCTAAACAATAAATAATGTCAGCTTTCTGTATCATATGAAGATAGTATGCACAAGAAAAGAGATGCAGCAATGGGCTAATAAGTAACAGCTAGCAGAAACATCAGAACATGGGGAAGTTTGTATTTGAGAGTGTTGAAATGCATGATGTGGGTAAAATATGAGCCTGGATGAGGAAGAATTATTAACATGAGATAAATCTCATGCTGTGCCTTAGAATTTAAGATCCTGACAAATAAATCTGGAGTCAATCCCATGACTCTGCTGGATTGACTTTTTTTTCTGTTTTTAATCCAGTTCTCTTTAGTTATACATGACAGTAGGATCAATTTTTACATAATTATAATTCTAATTCAGACCCCAGTATCTTTTCTTCTCCTTCCTACCCCTACCTCTTACTCCTTTCTCTCTATTAAATTCTCTGCCATTTTCCCATAGTTATTTTTTTAATTAACTTATTGTTGTTATACATGATGGTGAGATTCGCTGTGGTACAGTCAGCATGTACATAATAAAGTTATGTAAGATTAACTTTACTCTCTCCTTTTCCTACCCTCACATACCTTCATTCATCTTTGTCTACTCCACTGAAAATCTGTCTCCCTCCCCTTATTAAGGATTAACAGCCACATGTCAGAGAAAACATTCAACCTGTGTATTTTGGGTATTGGCTTATTTTACTTAGCATGATAGTCTCCAGATTCATCCATTTATCTTCAAATGCCATAGTCATTCTTTTTTCTGAGTGAGTAATACTCTATTGTGTATTTTCTTTATTCATTCATCTGTTGAATGGCACCTAGTTTGGTTCCAGGGATAACCTGCTGTGAATTGTGCTGCTATAAACATGATGTGGCTATGTAAGCTTGGACATAATGACAGCTTATAGTGACTATGTAGAAATGTTGGATTGTGCTTGCAGAGTGTTAATAAATATGTCTGAGGGACAGAAATTTTAACATGTTTATCATGTATGACCAGATAATCTACCATCTGAACATTTCCTCAGAAGACACCAGAAAACCTTGCCTTTATTAAGTATAATAATATAATGAGGCAGTTGTATCTTTCAGAAGCTTCATTTTCTCAAAAGTCCAGGTACAATAAAAGAAGAATGTATGTGGGATTTTAGATCAATGGAAATGTTAAAATTGGCAACAATTATCAAAAACAATCTCTATTTAAGTACCATCATAGATGGTAACTACTGCATTTGACATGCCAGAAACTTTGGAGTTGGGTATAGACCAACTTCTTAGAGGAAGGAAGGTGCACAATGAACAAAGATACTTTTTTACTTATATAGTCAAAATTATCAAGAGTTGATGGAGAACTCTTGATACACTGAAAAATCATTAATCCTTGACCAGATCTGGACCAGTGAGATTCAGAATCCATTGACTAAGAAATAAACTAAAACCTCATAACTTAAGTCTTTCACTATCACCAGAAATATGTAAAATATATGATTTTCAAGTACTTTCCTGAAGAAATCTACACTTCTTCATTAAAATAGGGTGAAAAGGAACACCTAGATATTCTGAAGTCTATTAGATTCAGCAATCAATGACATATAATGGTGTCATTATGCTGTTATGACCAGCTTATTAGACTGTGGGTTGATGGAATACAGAATATAAATGGAGGCCTCACTCACATTCACATCCATATAACAGTAAGTCAAAAGCATCTATGAATATACTTTATGGTATTTTTTTCCTGTTTCTTTTTGCATAATTGGAATTGTTGTATACATAATTGTTTTTTAGAGAGAGAGAGAGAGAGTTTTTAATATTTATTTTTCAGTTCTTGGCGATCACAACATCTTTGTTTGCATGTGGTGCTGAGGATCGAACTCGGGCCGCTCGCATGCCAGACGAGCTCACTACCACTTGAGCCACATCCCCAGCCCTATACATAACTGTTGACTGAACTCTCACATTTGGTTCTCTGATCTGAGGAAGAGGAGCCATTATTGTAGGAAACATAAAATAAAAGTCTGCTCCATCTCAATCAAGTCCCCACCAAAGCCATACACACATGCGTGCGCACGCATCCCCCCCCCACACACACACAGATTATTAGAAGTAATATTACATTTTTGTTAGAATTTAAGAGATTGGTGCTATGTTTAAAGTCTCAAAGGTTGTAAGGACAATGGTAGACTTCATCTCTATTCACTCCACTTGTGTAGTTTCCATGAAAATAGAGTATGGCAGATTTCAATGAACGTTTGTAAATATACTCAAATTGTAACATCATTGACCATTTCTGTCTCAAATACATTTCTTGGAACATTTAAATATATCTTCTTCAACTTAATTAGCTATTGATTGAAAATTTCTTTCAATATCCATCTTTGAAATGCATCAAAAGTCTTTGTCCATTTGAGAACAATAATATTACAAAAGTCCTGGTTTTACCCATTGAACAATGTTAACTGTCTTGCTCTCTGTCACAATGTGGTCTTCAATAACCATGATAGTTTTACTGGGTCTGACTCTCTGCAGAAAATCATATTGGTCCACTATACTGATGTCATCATTCTAATAATGATAAATAGCCTGGGAATAGTAAGTGGCAAGTGAGTCTGATACTCATATAGGACATTTGTTTTCTGATTTAAAGAAATAAACCCTACACATTTTAGGGCCCTGAGTCATTGATGAAATTTATAGGGTGACAATGATCTTGAATTTCACTTGTAAAGTAAAGGCCGGTTATTTTCTCTTGCACATCCTAGCATTTAGAAAATGGCACTAGGCTTAGCAAGTCTGTTTGGATTGCAAAGGCAGAATTTATCACCAGGTAAGTACCTAGGGTTTATGGACTTTGAACATATTTTTAAGGGTGCTCTATAAATGAGTGAAATAGCCCAAAAAGGCAGTATTAAATCCCTGGATCTGTTTGAAGTATACTAGTATATCCAGAAAGACTTAAGCTAATGAGTAAAATGGAGGTACTTACAGTTTGTTTGTTGTCCAAGCATTGCACCTGAAATCACTTTGCAGACAGAATCCATTTAGATACAGGGACCATGTCTTCATGTACTTTATGATCAAATATGCCATTCCTGGCTAAGTTCTTATTTACTGCCAACAGAAAAGCTAGCAAAATTGTTATTTAAAAGCCATGGCTCTTTAGAACTTGTATCTATTGAAACAGTATAAATCTTCTTGGCCCTGAAATTCCCTAATATCACTCAATGCTGGCTATGCTGCTACTCATGACTACATCACCCATTATAACATCTGTGAATACCAGCCCCAGTGATTCCCTCAAACATTGTTCTTGCTCATGATCTCACTGCAAATGAAAAATCTTTCCCAGACAACACAG